ACACACACACACACACACACGTATTCCTAGTAGAGCCATTCCTCCTTTCAGGGTTGGCTTGTGAAGACATTCCGCATTGAGGGCACAGCTCAAGGCTGGGTCTGAAATCCTTTGCATTTCTGCTGTTGCACCCTTCCCTAGGTTAAGCTTGGCTCTTGCAGTAGCTCGGGGATCTCCGAAATCCTTTGCATTTCTGCTGTTGCACCCTTCCCTAGGTTAAGCTTGGCTCTTGCAGTAGCTCGGGGATCTCCTTTGACGAGCTGCCCTTAGGAGCACCTGAGGATGTGACTGCTACTGTGTAGATGAGCTATCAAGCGAATTTTAACCTTGTGGCCTTTCTCTCCCCCACCTCACCCCACCCTACCAAGTACCCTTTCAACAGCCCCACTTCCCGGATGGAGCCCTGTCTGATGAGCAGCACTCCCAGACTGCATCCCACTCCCGTCACCCCCCGCTGGCCAGAGATGCCTGCAGCCAACACGTGCTACACGAGCCCGTCTGTGCATTCCACGAGGTACGGAAACTCTAGTGACATGTACACGCCCCTGACTACGCGCAGGAATTCCGAGTACGAGCACACGCAACACTTTCCCGGCTTTGCGTACATCAACGGAGAGGCCTCCACCGGATGGGCCAAGTGACTGCTACCATAGGATTGCATATTTAATATTAATAATTATTATTAATAATAATAATAATAACTCCCCCACCCCCAGACGACTTTTATCTCTACACATCGTTAACTCCTGGGCTGTTTGAAGGCGTCCATTTTTCTGAATGAACGTGGATGGAGCTGGGATTCAATGCAGGATGATGCATAAACTTTAGTTGCAAGCAGGGCTCCCTAAATGCCCCTGGGACTGGGTTCCTGCAGCCACCCTAGACTGAAATGTTTCTCTCGAGCACTATCTTTGGGCAGGCCACTCTGTGCCTTTTCCCTCCAGTCCGTGACTGCCTGGTGTTGCCAACCGCTCCCCAGGAAGCTACTGAAAAATTTCCCGTCGACAAAAGCTCTTTAGTCTCGAAGGCTCAGATCCTGGAGACAGAATCTGGTTTGTGTTCTTGGATGGGCGCACAATTTACCAAGAGCACGCACCTTGCCATCTGTCTGTTATCTTGCTGTCCCAGGAGCCACCCTCAGACCTGTTCTCAGACTCCCTTCCTCCTGGTGGCCATGGCTGCTTCCAGGAGTGCCAGGGATAAATGGTGATGCTGGGGAACTCCAGCTTCCCTGTGACAGTGGCGGCGGTCACAGTACCTGCATTGTCTTGGACTTGGAAGCACTGTCCTGAGAGGAGGGAGAGGCCTGTTCTGTGTTGCCTTAAGTTGAATGAGGTTTGTAGGGGACCGGTTCTTCTACATACAAGCATTTTTGCCCCTAAGTTTGCACAATGGCTAGTGTCAGCAAAAGGCAGGAGAGGGAGAGGGGTTTGAAGTTCTGTGAGAATGTGGATTTATGGCATTGAGTATCACATTCTGCTCTCTCTTGGTTGTGTTAACTCTTTGAAACTGGATGGACCAAGCTTGAACTTGCCAAGCACCAAGTGTGAAAATGACTTTCATGGTTCCTTCGTAAGGCTATAATAATTTCCGACACTTTGATAGAAAGAAAAAAAAAAAGAACTTCAAAGCTGTGCCTTTGAGCCTATACTATACTGTGTATGTGTGGAAATAAAAATGTATTGTACTTTTGGAAATTTTTTTTTTTCGTAGTCATTTTTCTGTCAGATTTGTAGCAATTTGTGAGGTTTGTTAGAGATTAACATAGGTTTTTCTTTCTGTATTATAAAATGCACCAAGCAATTATGGTGGACTTATTACCCTATGGGTAAGAAATAAATGGAAATATGTCATCGGATGTTTTAGCAATTGTTCTGTAAATAAAATCTTTGATCGCACCACTCAGTGTGATAATCATGTCTACAGCTAAAATGGAAATAGTTTTATCTGTACAGTTGTGCAAGATATGAATGGTTTCACACTCAAATAAAAAGGCATTGAAATGGCCTGCTTTGGTAATTTTCATTTTGCATTTGATCTCTCTCTCTCTTTCTCTGTGTGTGTGTGTGTGTAAGTGTGTATGTGTGAGAAAGAAAATCCTTAGGACATAACTCTGTTGTCATGTGCCGCTGAGCCAGACCTGACTCACAGCTGATCCTCCAGTGTGTTTTCAACATCTATAAATTACATAGAAAAGATTGCTCATCTTACTCGCTCAGAGCATCTGGTGGATTTGAACTGTGTGCCTTTGAGTTGGCAACACAACCTCTTACCCACTAGGCCACCAGATCTCCCTAGGACATTATTGTTATTTATTGTCATTAGGTGCAGTTGACTCGAGCACAATTCACAGCAACCCTATGAACAAAAGATCTGAATCCTGTTCTATCCTGCACCATCCTCACACTTCTGACACACAAGAGCCCACTGCAGCATCGCCATACAATCCACCTATCAAAAGACCTTGACGGTCTTCTTCTCCTTTACCAGCTCTCCACCCTTCCCAGCTTCATATCCCTCTCCAAGGAATAGCACTTCCTAGCAATATGCCCAAAGTATGTGAGGCAAAGCCTCATCATTCTTGCCTCCAAAGAGCACTCTGGCTGCACCTTCTCCAAGACATATCTGTTTGTTCTCTTAGCCATCCATGGGATATTCAGTGCTCTTCTCCAACACCACAGCTCAAAGGCATCAATTCTTTTTCTGTCATCCATATTAATTGTCCATGTCTCAGATGCATAGTTAGTAATCGGAAAGACTATGGCCTGAATCAGATGCACCTTGATCCTCAAACTGACATCATTGCTCCTCAATAATTTGGAGAGGTCCCTAACTGCAGATTTTCCCAGTGCAATGTGTCTCCTTATTTCCTGACTGCTTATACCAAGGATGTTAATTGTGGATCCAAGCAAGTTGAAGCTGTTGACAATGTCAATCTCCTCTCCTCCCATCACGACACTCCCTGTTGGTCCAGTGGTAAGAATCTTTGTTCTCCGGACATTGTGATGGAATCCATACCAAAGGCTGCATCCCTTGCTCTTTTACAAGTGCTTCAAGCCCTCCTCACTTTTGGCAAGCAAGATTGTGTAATTTGCATCACATAGGTATTAATGAGTCTCCCTACAATCCTGATGGCACACTCCTCCTCATAGATCCAGCTTCTCAGATAATTTGCTCAGCATACAGATTGAATAGGTATGAGAGAGAGAATACAACTTTGATGCACTCCTTTCCCAATTCCAGACCATGCAGTGCTCCCCTGCTCCACTTGCACAACAGCCTCTTGGTCCAGATATAGGTTCCTCATGAGCACAATCATGAGCGCTGCGATTTCCATTCTTCTCAGTGTCAACCACAACTTGTCATGATCCACACTGCCCTAGGACTTAAGTAGGCAAAATATAACTGTGTGGTCTTCTATTCTTGTGCTTCAGTTCCCTATCATTTGGTCCTTGAATAAGATAACACCGATAGCTTCATTGAGATTTGTAGATGAGCAGTTACTTCAACTTACATGATTTTTTCCCAAGTCTGTACAAGAGCATCAGCAAAAGGCAGGGACCTTTTGACTCATACAGAGAATATTAGTCTTCAATACCTGCACCATTAAGAAGGCCCCTCATACTTAGTTCATCGTGCTTTAATGATCCCTAGGTGTAAAGATATTTCAAGTGCAGCACTTTAAGTGCTAATTAACTTTAGGAACAGAACAGTAATATTACTGAATACTTAGTAAGCATTAACAAATTCTCCTCCAGCACTGTATTTTGATTCCTGGGCTGGGAGGAATAAAGACTTAGAAGCAAAATGATTATTTCTCCCAAACGTTGAGTCTAGGAGCTATGAGAGATTTAGAACCATTTAGAACCACGTATTTCCAGAAACGACAGAGTGACTATTTTAACGAAAAGGCACGAGAATCTGACAAATCAATTTGCATTTTCAGAGATTTATTTTTAAAATCAAGCTCCTGTTATTACATAACATATTTCTACCTGAAAAATTATTTTGAGGTTGAAATTATACATACATTATAGATGCTGTTGGGGTGGCAGTTGCCAGCAAGTTGATTTCTTCTTTTGGCAAACTCCATGTATGCAGAGAAGAACCGCCTCACGGGCTTTTCAAGGCAATGGTCTTTTGGAAACAGATCAGCAGGCCTGTCTTCTCAGGTGCTCCTGCCTGGCTCAGAACTGCCAATCCTTTTGGCTAGTAGCAGTTTGTTTTGCCCCACCCAGGAGTTCCTTTTATGTTCTTGTTATTATTGTTATACACTGTTGAGTCAGAATTGACTCATAGCTGACCCAACTCAGTGAGTTTTCAGAGGCTATAAATCATATGTGAGGAGGCTCATCTTTTTCCTGGAAAGCAGCTAGATTGAGTAGATTCAAACCATGTACCTCTGGGTTGGCAGTGCAATGCCTTATCCACTAGCCCACCAAAGCAATCCTGGTGTTCTACTGCCCCCCCCCAATTTTTTTCAAAGAAAAAGTGGATTTTACTCTTTTTTTGGTTATTTTTGGATTTCACTTTCTGAAGGTAAATGAGTTTTATCCTCCCCCCCCCCCACACACACAACTCATTTGTTACCTTTTCATAAGAGGGAGATGAGGAATTAATGACATTTCAGAGCTGGCCACTGACCAAAATAAATCTGAGGATGATCTGATATATCACTTCCTATGGAGCTAATGTTCCCTGAATGAAAGAGTATAGAAAGTATGACTTTTGACTTTTAAACAGAAACCAAGTCATCACCCAATACCAGATTCTCTAGCCGGGCAGAAGAACATCTAATAAACAATACTCTGGTGGCCTAGTGGCAAGAAGCTACCGCAGGCAAAGGATGGGCAACCTCCTTCAGTGACTTAACTGCTTCTGATAATCCACTTGTGGGCCGGTTCTGAGTTGATGGTACCCAACAACAACTCGAGCCCAAGAACTCGAGCCACTGACCTGCACAACAACATCTAAAGTAAGAAGTCCTAATGGTGCCGTTCATTATATGTTGGGCTGCTAACCAAGAGGTCAGCGGTTGAAATCCACATGAGAACGATGTGATGGTCTCCTCTCTTAAAAATTACAGCCTCGGCAACCTGACGAAAGGCCATCATAAATTGGAGTAAGACTCAGTTGTCTGGAGTTGGTGAGGGTGGCACAGGAGATGGGAGGGTTCAGAGGCATCGTTCACGGGGATGCTATGAGTTGTAGTCTACTGTTGTTGTGTGTCATTGACTCACCTGTGACTCACAGGGACCCTATGTACAGCAGCCCTGAAGCCTGCCCTGTCCTGAGCCAGTATCACTGACTCTGACACCCCTACCCTCATTGCCCCAGTTCCTGCATCAGTCCATCTCATGCGGGGTCTTCCTCTCTTGGTGCCACATAATAAAAACTACGATGGTTTGGGGTTTGGTTATGTACAAGTTTGTTAAATACACAAGTCTTCAGGCACAGCCAACAAGCACATAAGCCCTACAGAGCAGAGAAGTTGCTCCAGGGATTCTGTAAGAGAGGGGAGTGCAACAATAACACAGAGTTATCAGCAGTGCAGACAGAAGGTAGCATGACATGAGGGTAAACCGATCATGTGGCTTTCTCTCCACGGCCAGGGCACTTGTCTCCTGGGAGCTACGAGTACTACCTGTGCTCCCAATTGTTCTAAAAACCTTCCACTTCAGAATTAAGGAAGATCTGATCAGCGAAAGGCAACAGCTGCTGTGAGCGCAGGGACCTCCTCTCTGCCCGATGAGTCCTCACAGGTCACTGGAATGGACTAGGCAAGGTTGGCAGCTGGGAGTGTGGCCAATCACTTGTCAGAGGAAGAACAGAGGAGCCTTGGCAATAAAAGAGCACCTCCCCTGCTAGAACTCTTTCTGAAAAGCCCTCTGCCAGCTTGAAGCTGGCTGAAGTCATGAACAGCAGCCAGGATGGCTCACCCACGTCGCAGGCCTGTGGCATCCTCACTGTCCACCCTGCTGAGTTCTTTGTCAGGCCCGGAGCATACCCCAGGTCTGCAAACAGAAAGAGAACTGGGGGGCCCCTCTGAGCTGGTAACGCAGGCACAGATCAATTAAAGGGGGTTTTCATTGAGAGAGCCCAACTGCAGTGGGGGGCAGAGGGATCCTGGAAGACACCCTGGAAAGGAACCTTGGCGTCACCACTGTGTGACCTCGATGGGGTCACCTCCCCGATGTGGACCTCAAGCAGGCTAATTGTATGATTATGACATTCCAGATTATAGTCTGTGTGCTGATGGAGCAGGGCTGGTGGATCTGGGTGAGGAGGGTAGACAGCTCAGCTGGGCAGTGATTCAGGGAGGCAGTCACAAGAGAGAAGTCAACGGCTCCACCAGCTGGTGTTAGACAAGACTTGATGTTCGCGCCCAAGAACTCCAGCCATGGACCTGCACACGCCTGTCTCCAGAGTTCCTCCCCTTTCCTAGGATCTGACCCCACCCCGCCCGCCCTCCCTTGCAATGCTCCTCTCCTTAATAACTCACTTTAAAGTGAGTTCCAGCAAAATACTGGGAAGAAAATCTGTAGGACAGAAAGCAAAAGCAAACGGGTTATCTGCCCTATCTTCTTGCATCTCTTAAAAGCAGACTTGTAAGATTTATTAGAAAAAAAATCCAAAAATCAAATCCTGGGGAAGGGATGGTATAAATACCCTCTTTATACCACTGATATGGGACTGCTGTTGGCTGCCGGAAGAGTGGGAGAGAAAACACTAAAATATCGTGAGACGTGAGGCACGCGATCCCAACTAAGACAAGAGCAAATGTATATAAGTTGTTATCACTGGGAGCTTTCTGTTTGTTTTTTTTTAAAAAAGTAATCTTACTGGCTTTTGAGGTGAAGTCCTGGCTCCACAAAAATGCTGTAGAAGGGGCATTCTTGCTTCTAGCAGGACTTGACTGCAATGGGTAACTCCCATTAGAATTGACTCCATTAGAAATACGCCATCTACTTCTCAAAACTACCAATGCACAGCTCCCATCCAC